AGTTCACCATTTTCTCCAGGGGAACTTATCTCTGCCATCTGGAAGGCAGTTGTAATTCTAAGTGATCTCCAGCCCTCACCTAGAGATTGGTAACAAAGGTTTCCCAGGAGGAAAATTAGTCTTTCTTGGCAATGGGGACCAAAGCAGGTTACATCATTCTTCTCTCCCCCTTTGGGTTGCACAACAACCCTGGGAGATAGGTTAGGCTGAAAGTCTGTGACTGGTCCAAAATCACCCACTTAGCTTCTACAGCAAGAACCTGGATCTCAGAGACCCTGCTCCAAAGCACTGACTGCTATGCCTAGAGTAGCCAACCTCCAGGTGGAGCCTGAAGATCACCAGGTATCACAACTGAACTCCAGAGAACAGATCTCCCTCCCCCTTGGCAACCCAAGGGTCTGGCCTTTCCTTGCCTCCTTGGGCTACCCCCTCCCTTTGTTATTGTGCAGAGCAGGGGAGACTATGTGGTCAGAGGCATTCTGTTCAGCTGAGGCCTCTCCCTTCCCCAAACCCTGGCTTCCATAGATTCTATCAGAAAATCTCCAGGAATATCCCTACCTGGAGCTGGCAATCCTAGTCAAGACTGGCCCCAATGAGTTCCTCACAAAGGCCTGCAAAGGGTTTCCTTCCTTTGTCTGAACCAAGCTTGGTTGCCCACTGTGGTGAAACGGGCTCCAGTTTACAACTCAGCTGTTCGCCTCCCACCCTTGTCCCGTGGGCATATCTCACTCAAGTTCACTGCCGCCACTCACTAAATTGTCACTGCCTTTTTAGAGGGACACTGAGACCCCTCTGGGCGAATCTCCCTATTTGGAGATGGAATCCCCAATCATTGGGGGATCCCTGGAAAGTTGGCAACCCGAGGGTCTGGCCTTTCCTTGTCTCCAAACAGCCTTTTCTTTCCTTGTCTCCTTGTCTCCAAACAGCCCCGTTGCCAGAGCGCTGTGTAGCGTCATGTCCTGGCGACAGCGGGTGCAACGCATCTCGCCGACCCCGCGGCAGGGATTCTGCAAAGAGATGCGATCCCCCGCCACGGTTTGGCAAGACTTGGGAGCCCTAGAGGGAAACGTTACTCCCAGTACCTGGTTGGATGACCTTGGGCAAGCCATAGTTCTGATAAGAGCTGTTCTTGAAAAAGAGCAGTTTCTGTCAGAGCTCTCTCAGCCCCACCCACCTCACAGGGTGTCTGTTGTGGGGAGGGGAAGGGAAAGGAGTTTGTAAGCCACTCTGAGACTCCCTTGGGTAGTGAAGGGTGGGGTATAAATCCAATCTCCTCCTCCTCCTCCTCTTCTTCTACTACTACTCCTCCTCCTCAACAGAGACACAGATTTGTCACTGAATGTCTAATTTTACTTTCAGTTTACAGAACCATTGAGTTGACTAAAGTTATAGGTACTCCTGAGGACCAACTGCATTTGGCTTGAAACCTGTCATGTTTCTTTTCCTCCACAACACCCTTGGTTTTCAGTTAATCTCACATCTAAAACAAAGGCGCTGAAAAGTTTTAGCAAAAATAGAGACAGATAAAAGATGTATTGTTGAACATCAATTTGGGGTCAAGGGAGACCTAGTAGTTATTTGCAGCCTCTGAAATATTTTCATGATGCTCAGAGATCTCAAACAACTACTGGTTATGTGGTCATTCCTTGTAATAACCCTATGAAAGTCCTTCTGCAGGTCTGAGTTGTAGTTCATCAGCACGGTCTTATTTGCACCTTCATCTATTTTACCATTCACAATGCAAAAGAAAACAGCATCAGTCAAGATATGTGACGGGTAGTTGGGGGTGGGGGTCACTTGCTTATCTGCAAGACACAGATTGCTACAATACTGAATCATCACCTCAAAAAGGTATTATTTCAAGCTACTCCTTCCCAGTGGGAAGTGTTCTTCATGTGGGGTATCTCTTTCCCACTTTTTTCGTACCTTTACATACTCATTCCATTGCGCCACTGTTTCCTCATCTCTTCATTTCTGGAAAATGAACATGACCAGTTTTTTCCATCTCACCTCTTTGTCTTCCTTTGGAAACTGTGCCAATCTTGGTGCACTAATAGAGAATTACACAATAAAGGTGGCAAAAGTCATATATCCCAAGAACAGAATCAACACGCCACTCATCTCCCTTGGTCACAGAGTGCAGGTCCATATATGCAAGGTAATAAATGCCCTCTTTATCTTGCTTTCCACTCCATCACCTACAAAGCATGGCGCTAAAATTTAGAGTGACTCCATTTATGAGTCAATGATGCCTACACATCTTCCTTTGTGAAGTGGGACTTCTGTGATATTACCTTGGAGACTAATTAAGCTGAATATGAGTTCTGGAAAACCTTGACACCAGAAAGGTTAATGGGCTGAGCCAAGCCCATCTCCCTCTCAGAGAGGAGAAGTAGGCATGGAAGTCAACTTGGTGAATTTAATTGTTGGATTGAGCAGAGCAGAGTGAATGGTTCTGAAGTTGTTCTTTGCCATTACATTAATGGCATTTCTGTGTATGTGTTCTTTAAGTAATTGGCAGTCTTTTCCTCATAGGTCTTGTCCTCCAGTTGCTTTCACAGAAGATTAGACACTATTGTGTACACTATCTTTCCAATGCATACGATGACAGGACAAAAAAAAGACAGGAGAAGAAAAAAGGGTTGCAGTGGAGGGAGGGAGAGAATATGGTAAAAATATGTCAGGTTTGTCTCTGCAGTCCTTATGTGCCTTGACAAAGCAAAGCTTTAAGCATGACAATTTCCATTATCTCTGGTGTCTGATCTACATTTTATTTTGTTTTTTCTTATATCCAATTAACTGGAGGTGTCTGGATTATGGCTGCTTTTGTTTGTAAAAAGTAAGATCTAAATGTTTTTGTACACAAAATCAAGGAAGGTCAGAGCTAAATTCTGACTGTGGAGCTTTGACCGCTTTGTTCAAAAATTGCTTTGCAGCAAATGTATTAATATTCCATTTCAGCACATAAAGGCCGATAAGTCTAGGTTCTGCTACATGTGAAAAGGAGCGATAATTTATCACAGCCTTTTTTGACTGGTGCCCTACTCTTTTATGCGTGGCCTGGTCCACATCAGTTTCTCAGCTTGATAAGTATTACAAGCAATAGATTGCCACATTCAGCAAAGTGACAAAATGCTAAGCATGGAGCACGGGGCACTGTGACCACTCCAGTTCCCACATTAGTCCGTTGGGGAGTCGGCCATTATCAGGTCTCCTTGCTTGGGTCATCCAGGATTGATTAGCAGTTAACATCCATGCATTACAATCACACATATCAGAAGCCCACCAACCATGCATAATAAGAGTGTGAACAGAGACAACATGCATATTTATTGTGTACTTACAGCCTTGGTATGCAAGAAAAGGAACCCTAAAAAATCAGTCGTTGACTTTGCATGTACCAAGGCTATGCACACATGATAAATACACACATTGCCCCATTCACACAACACAACCATTCATATTGTGAGGGTTGAGGGTAAAATGCATTCCCATTAAATGCAGGTGGTAGGCTCCCCAGTATGCATGATTGTAACATCTGGAAACATCTGCTCATTCAGACTCCCATGTCCTTAAGCAAATTGTGTTACCAGTTAAGAACAAACTAGGTCAATGATTATGGGCAGTATTTTTTTTTTTGACAGAAGGCAGTTTAAAAGAGGGATCACTGCTCATGATGCATATACGCATCCCATGTTTACCTTTAGGAGACAGGGTTTGCAAGTTTTCCTATTGTTTCAATAATATTTGCTTCACCATAAGTGTTATGTACTGAAAGCATTCCATGAATCGTCTAATTCACTTACTATGTTAAGCTTCGAGCCAGCCAGGGCTCCGTCTACTCTCACACCCTATTGGTCGTTCCGAACGTGTGACCAATCGCAGCCCAGCAAGGTCTCTAAGCGGGAAGAGTTCCCATTGGTCTTTATCCTGAGTTTCTTATTGGTTGTTATTTGTAAATAGGTGTGGCTATGTTAGCCTGGGAATGTTTAAAAGGAGCCTAGCTCCCTATGTTAATCTGTTCTGTAAAGGAGGTACTAAAGCGAGTTCATCCTACGAGCGAAAAGGTGGCTGCGATCCAAAATGCCCCCAGGCCGGTGAGTAAGAAAGAGCTGCAATCATTTTTGGGGCTGCTCAATTTTTATCATGCGTTTCTACCGCATAAGGCATCGGTGGCTGCCCCTTTGCACGCACTTTTGCATAAGGAGGCGAAATGGAAGTGGGGACAAGCCGAAGAGAGGGCTTTTGTGGGAGTTAAAGAGCTATTAACTTCACATTACGTTCTGACTCATTAGGATGAGCAGAAACTCCTGGTGTTAGCTGCGGACACTTCACCTTTTGGAATAGGCACAGTTTTAAGCCACCTAATGCCTGATGGGAGCGAAGCGCCTATCGCTTTTTACTCGAGATCTCTATCTGCGGCAGAAAGGAACTATGCCCAGATAGACAAGGAAGGTCTGGCTTTAGTAGCGGCTGTCAAAAAGTTCCATGACTTTATTTTTGGCAGATGATTTTTGCTGGTCACTGACCACAAGCCGCTATTGGGGATTTTTGTGCCCGATAAGCAATTGCCAAATATAATGTCCCCACGTATGCTTAGATGGGCGATTTTTTTGCAGGCGTATGAGTTTGATTTAGAGCACCGGCCTGGGAAAGCAATTGGACACGCAGATGCGCTCAGCCGCTGTCCCTTGCCTGAAACTGGCTGGGACCCTGCCCCTGCGTGTGAGGTCTTGTCGATCGATGAACTTCCTCAGGTGCCAGTTTCCTCTAAAGACATAGCCACACAAACGGCTAAGGACAGCGTATTATCCAGAGTATTGAACTGGGTTTGGAGGGGGTGGCCGGCAGGAAGCTTGGAGCCAGAGTTCCAGCCCTATAAAGCCCGCCAAAAGGAGCTGTCAATCCCCAAGGGTTGCATACTATGGGGAAACAGAGTGGTGGTTCCTGCCAAACTCAGGAAACGAGTGTTGCTATCATTGCACAAGGGACACCCCGTAATGGTACATATGAAGGCGTTAGCCCGGGGATATGTTTGGTGGCCAGGGCTGGACGCAGAAATTGAAGAATGGGTTCGGGTTTGTACTTTGTGCCAGCAAGCCAGACCGGAGCCTCCACAGGCTACACCTCAGAAGTGGGAGTCACCAGGGAAACCTTGGGCCAGGGTACACATTGATTTCGCTGACCCAGTTCAGGGGCAAATGTTCCTTATTGTAGTGGATGCAATGTCCAAATGGCTAGAAGTAATTTTAATGAAGTCAACCACGTCACTAGCCTTGATCCATGCACTCCGCCGGCTGTTCGTGACCCACAGACTGCCGGACATCTTAGTCAGCGACAACGGCCCAGAATTCACTTCACAGGAATTTATTCAATTCCTAGCTGACAACAGTATTCGACAAATCACATCTGCCCCCTTCCATCCTGCTTCTAATGGGCAAGCAGAACGAATGGTCAGAACAGCTAAGGAGGCCCTGGGTAAAATGTCAGAAGGGGACTGGAACCAAAGGTTGGGCTCTTTCTTGTCAAGGCAACACACCACTCCATGCAGTGCCACGGGCTGTAGTCCAGCTGAAATGTTGATGGGCCGTCGCCTCACTACTCGATTGAACCAGTTGCACCCGGATTTGAACAAGGAACAGTCCGAGCGCAACCCTCCGCAACCGAAGGTGCGCATGTTTGAAAAGGGAGACAAGGTCTTTGCCCGAAATTATACTGGTGGGCACTTGTGGGTTCCCGGCGTAGTGTCTGAAGCAATAGGCACACTAATGTATGCAATCCAGCTGGCTGATGGCAGAACGTGGCGGTGCCACATCGACCAGCTTCGGAGACGCTGGGCAAAGGACAGTCCTGACTCTCCGACAGTTGAGCCCTCCGAAAGTGTTTTCCAACCTCCAAACTTGGAGGTGAGTACAAACCTGCCCTGTCCTATTCCTATAACAGGACAGACCCCGGACAGTGAAGCAGTAACCCCCGCAGTAACTGTGCCTAACTCAGGAGTTGCAGAACCTAATAAAGATACCCCCCAGACAATGCCTGCAGAGCCTGTACAACTGCGTAGGTCTCAGCGGTCACACAGAGCGCCAATGTATCTTAGTGACTATGACTGCAGCAATCTGTATAATGATGACAAATGACTAACTATGTGACTGTAAATAAATATGATGTCTTAACTTAGGGGGGAGGAATTGTTATGTACTGAAAGCATTCCATGAATCGTCTAATTCGCTTACTATGTTAAGCTTCGAGCCAGCCAGGGCTCCGTCTACTCTCACACCCTATTGGTCGTTCTGAATGTGCGACCAATCACAGCCCAGCAAGGTCCCTAAGCGGGAAGAGTTCCCATTGGTCTTTATCCTGAGTTTCTTATTGGTTGTTATTTGTAAATAGGTGTGGCTATGTTAGCCCGGGAATGTTTAAAAGGAGCCTAGCTCCCTATGTTAATCTGTTCTGGTTTTGACTACGTTTTGAGTGTTTGATCGCTACTTCCAATAAAGCTGAAATCACTTGCTGAAACCACTATCCGAGTCTTTGTTAGTCCGATCTAACAATAAGTGGCTGGACAGGCCTACATACCATAGATGTAGCATCAGTACTGCATGACAGGGCCCTTGAGCTACCAAGTTCACTGCTAATCATACCCACCCCCCGGTTGCTGGGCCAGCCCCACACAGCAGACAGGCAGAGATCAGTGGGTTTCCCCAAAGCAAACTGTAAACCGATCACACGGCTATCCTGCAGTGCGGCAAAGAAGTGGCGCAGCGCAATCACATCGGCAATCGCTAGGCGCCGCTTCTGTGGCAAACAGCATTTTTTTTCACACTGAAGTTTGCACATGCGCATGATCGTTTGTGCACATCCTTTGGAGACTTACCAAAAAAATCCCATCCGGTGTGCGACAGGACATGGACGGGCACCGGATGCCATGGGATTCAAGCGGAAATGTGATCAGACACCCGTCCTTGCCCTGCGTTTTCTGGAAACTAGTACATCGTATGTGGTAGTTTTTTACTCCGCATCTTCGGCGAGAAGCCACGGGTTAGCCACGGGTGTACTATGCTTCCCAGATGTTGCGGTGTGATCGCACACCAAAAATCCGCCTCTCATCCATGTCTTTAGCGCAGCAACTTCGCCATGTCAATGGGACCTCTACTGGTTTTCCCACATTCTGCTTCCATACCCCATCCAGAACTTCACAGCCACTGACTGCAGCCAAATCCGTAGGCTGTACTTCTGCTAAGGAACTACATGTTCATTTTTTGCTTTTGCTTTGGATCCACAATTAAATCAAAAAGCTTTCTGTATATCACTAACATCAGCAGTCATCTTATGCCTATATATATACCACAGGAAAAGAAACCCCTTTCAAGTCTCCTAAAAACTATTGCAAGTTATGAGTCATCAGCCTCATGTATTGCAAAGGTCAAATGAACAGTTTGGGAGAATTGCTTTCCCATTAGAGTTTAGCTGTCTAGAGGGGGTGGGGCAGTGGTTATCGAAAACAAAGGAGTTTTAGGAAAGAGGCATTTAAAGAGAAGATAACTTATGGCTTGTTTCCCAAGCTCCTGGAATCAATAGGATTTCTCCTGGAAAGGTTGCAAGGGCATACACTCCAGCTGTTCATACATTCAAGTTTGCAAGGGCATACACTCCTGCTGTTCCTATTTACCAGGACAGGCCCTGTTTTCGGGAACCTCTTTACGGTAAACCATTGCCTTTATCTTATTCCTCTTTTCCCTCTTTAAAGTTCTCCTTGAGTTACTAGAATTATGTTCTGATTCTTGCCCCCATCCGAGTCTCTAACAAAGAGAGAGTAGGAGGGTAGATGTGCCTTTTCTCTACTGCACAGGCATGTAAGTTCAAGCACATGGACGATAACGTTCCATGTAGCACATAGCCCACTTCACATATTAAAGCTGGGAATGGTATTTTTTTTTTTAACAGCTGGCAATAAATTTTAGGATAATGGGCATTTTTCCTGGGATATGTTCTGGCTACTAGCCATGATGACTAAAGGGAACCTCTACATTCAGAAACAGTACACCTCTGAATACCAGCACTAGGAAGAAAAGTCACAGCCAGGTCCTCGCCCTTATTGGCCCTCAGTTTCAGCTGGTTAGCCACTGTATGAAACAGGGTGCTGGACAAGCTGGACCATTGGTTTGTTCCACTAGGGGTCTCCTTGCATTCTTATGTTAACCCCCCAAAACCCAAACCCCTCTGGCTTTTAAAACTGGAGAGTAATAGAAACAGCAGACAGAGACCAGCTTTGAATGATGTCATCTATGTGGGGAGGGATGGGCAGTGATCCTTGGTATGAGAAAAACTGGGGGTTTTAACTACAGAAGATAAATACGCCGAATGATCCACGATGTTGGAAGGGCTGCGGTCAGGTGGGCACTTACCTACATTGTTGGTGGGATTGTCCAAAACTCGGTGAATTCTGGAAGGAGATCCGAAAGCAGATCACGGATATAACCTCAATTAATCTAAATTTTAAGCCAGAAATCTTCCTACTAAATCAATGGGATAGCGACTTAGATAATAGGAATAAGGAAATTATTTCCTTACTTCTTGCAACAGCGCGTCTAAACAATAGCGTCATGTTGGAAGTCCCCATCACCACCGACATTATCCGACTGGCATGAGAAAGTGTGGGATCAATTTGTGATGGCGAAAATATCAGATAAAATACAAAGAGCAATAACACCACAATCTTCTAGTTCAAAATGTGAGTCAATATGGTTCTCAATATTTTCATACCTTACCGCACATGATATACTTCCTGCCAACCTACATTATCACAAATGGTTACTGATGTGATACATTATAATGAAAGCTTGATGGGATAGGATAATATCTGTACCCTTTCCCTTTAGGCCTTAGAATAATAACCTTGATTATTATAGAAGATCTCTCTATTGAAATGTTATAGTATTTATGATCTAGGTTTTACGTGTTACTGAAATGTACATCCATGTTTATACATCTCTTTTGTTGGCAACAGTGTGGCATACATTGTTTTGTGAATATAAATAAATAAAAGGTAAAAAAACCTGGGGTGTTCCAAGAATGTCCCTACTTTTACCTGTGAAATGTATATGTACACTGGTGGAGCTGGGACGTAGCATGGTGAATGAAGAAAGGAATTCTGTTATTCCAGGCACAATGAATGGCATTGTTTAGATATGACAGGAAGACTGAATGACTGAGAAAGGGCAGATAGTAGATGATGAAGGCTGCAATTCTGAGAACGTTGTCCTGAACTCAAGCCTCACTGAATAAAAAGAGACTTTCTTTTGAGTAAACCTACTTAGTAATGGTCCCAAAGTCCTGTTGAAGGAGGAATTGATGGAGTGTAAGTATGGAAGAGGGAGGGGATTTAAAGCCTATTTCTTTTCAGGGTGTCAAGTCCACATTAGTATATGGTGGCCATGATTTTGAAATGCCAACGGTTACAGTCATGGATTATGCAGAGCACTGATTTAATGGATCCAGAACTGTTAATGTGGGGAAAAGAGAGGGTGGGAAGGGAGGTCTCTGTTTATCAGTAACAGATGCTGTGGTGTGTATTGATCCAATGCCATCAGCTATTTGCAGGTGCTAATACAACCTGGGGGGAAACCATAAAAACTGTGAGCATGAAATCACTTTAAAAATTCTTTTCATCAGTAACTTTGCCCCTTGGTTTGTTGACCAAGTTAATAAAATGATGGGTCCTTAACACAATCCCAGCCCTTGTTCAAAATTTTAAAAAAGTATTATGAAAACAGGTACAACAATCTGGCATCTGCGGGGGGAAAAGAAGGATGGGATTAATCAAGTGGGTTTGGCAACTGTGATACCCAAGGACAGAAGGAGTATATCTGCCAATGATGTGAAATGTTGAATTAAATGGATAGCTTTATGAATGGTATGCTTTTGGCTGCTGACTTTGCTAGCCCTTTGTAGATGCAAGGGATCAATCCTGTGGCTTTCTGAAATACACAACACTGTGTTTTGCTGCAATTGATTTCACTGTGCCATTGAAATCGGTAGTCAGCCCAACATTCTGGAGCAGCATTACTAATTATTAAAGAATAGGAACAGTCAGTTCATGTTAGATCATTCTTTGGATACAGCAGCCATCTAAATATTTTTAAAAATTCTGTTTGTTTGTGTGTATGCAGTCTCCAGTGCTTGATAAATGTTTGTTAAATAAGGGGCAAACTGTACCATGAGAAACTGAAGAAACCTCCACTTTGCTGGTTTCATCACACTGTAGTCTTGCACAAGTTTAGGCACGATCCTGTATAGCAGGAGGTCACCAACTCCTGCGGGCTCCTTTGAAATGCTGACAAAGGGTTCTGGGCACAATCACAAAATGGCTGCTACAGGAGGTGGGGCCAACACAAAATGTTGGGGATTGAGGTTATATACCACTCTAATAGTAACTCTTCAACATTTTAGGCAGAAGTTCTGTTTAACAGGATACCTTTTAATCTGCACTACCAATCAGAAGCCCTGCTGGGAAGAAGCCCCATCTAGGCCTGTCTACTTTCCAAACACACTCGGTGTAGGCTTGCCAAGTCCCCCCGGGGGGGCGGGGAAAACCCTGCCCGAGAGGCCCGTTACCCACTGCCGGCGGATCGGGCCCCGGGGGGGAACCCCACCCCCAAAGCACGCAACGTGCCCGGCGTCAGCACGTCACCCGGAAGTGACACAGTCGTATCGGGCGCGTTGGGGGTGGGGCCGCGGTCATCCGAGGGAAAACTCTATGGTTTCCCCTCAGATGGTTGTGGCCCCGCCCCTGGCGTGCCCGACATGGTTGCATCACTTCCGGGTGACGTGGTTGTGGTGCGCGCGTGCAAAGCGTGCACACACGGACTCCCGGAGCGGCGCTGGAGTCCCCCGCTCTACATACAGCGAGGACTTGGCAGCCCTAACTCGGTGGGTGCCAGGAAGGGTATTGTCGGGTGCCCTGGTGTTCATAGGCACCACATTGGGGATCCCTGCTACATAGAGTTGACTTCGATAGACTTAGAAGGTTGTGGCTTTGTTCAGGATGGCACTGTCGTATTCCACCAAGCTATTCATCTCTCCCAACCTGCCAGGTGCTCAACAACCTCCTGTTTTTGCATCCCCAGATTGTTAAAAAGAATAGATTTATCTAGCCCTAATGAGCAACCACACATGGCTAACGGGGTGTATTCGGCTGGGTGACTCATAAATTGACAGGCCTGTTACACCATGACAGAACTTCTGCTTTGTATAAAAATGAGGAGCGAAAGGAAAGCTCAAGTTTATCAGTGTTTCCCCCCTTCTCCTGGAAACACGATCTCTTCGATATCGCTGCAGGATGCAAGGAAGATATATCTAGTGAATAGTTCCATTGCAGTAGTCGTCCATAGTTCCTATTTTTCAGTGTTCCAGACATTCTACATAGAAGGTGCTTCTGTGTGTTAATATGATGTCTACATATAGAACATTATATACATTGGTCCTACGTATCTATAAATTACTGCATGGATGTGGCTCATCACATGCTAGAAAGGCATGCAATATCGTGTGGCTATTTGAAGGTTAATATTGTTGGAGTGCCTTTTGTCTCCTGGAGCAAAACCTCCAGAACTAATACTGAGAAGGCCATATATCTGAAGGTTTTTGGAGCCTTCTGGGCCTAGCAGCATACTGTAACATGGTTCCTATTGTTCACTCCTGGCCAATGGCTTCTTCTGAGTAGCTGGAGAGCAGCATTTGAAGCACACTGCGTGACAGAAAAAGGTAGTTTACATTCAGGTGATACA